CTTGCTCTCCACCTACCACCACTGGATGTGCAACTCGAAGCTCTCTCAGTTAAATTCATGTGTAAAATACTCACACAAGGTGACAATCTTTCAGCTACCCTCTACCAAGTTGATGAAAGCAGAATACCAAGTTTTCATGTCTTAACAATGTCACTGAAAAAGCACTTCCTTTGGAAAGAAAATAAGTCACACGGAACCAGAAGTAAGTAAGTAAGTAAGTAAGTAAAGATTATGACATAACATCATCACAAGTGATCTACAAAATATCATTGCACTAAATAAAAAAATAATAAGAATGATAGACCTAACGCAGCAACATTTCAAGGATCTGGCCTATTACACTCAGGCAGACATAATGAGCTACAAAAATAAGATCTGGATTGACAGCATCGAAACAAATCTGCAATGCAGAACTGTCAGTAACAACAAGGAGACCAAGATACTCGGTGTGATCACAAAGATCAAAAACAGTGGGCTGCTCCTAGACAAAAACAACTTTTTATTCGGGCACAACACGAGTAAAAATCTGGACAGCCGAATAATGGACTACATTCACGGCAGCTCACCACTCTTTGTGAATATCCAAAAGATCATGGGTGGTGGCAGTGGTGAGGCCTGTCGTTTCTGTAACAGCTTCATTGATTCTCCCGTACACCAGCTCCTATTGTGTCTGGAGGTGCAAGACACCAGTTACCTGCAACTGAAAGAAGAGCTGGGTGGGGCAGACTCACATTCCTATCTAGATGAAGTGTTAACAAAAAGCAGCACACAAAAAGCATTCATTAGGAGAGTCGAATTTCTTTGGGGACAAAATGATGCTCTCCAGGATTTATCCGACTAGAAAGATCATGAAATAAAGACTCTGCAAACATCTCAGAGAAATATTACCACCATAAAGAACAAAGAGGGAGTATCCTGGACCCCGAAATCCACCACTTTTCTGTACTTTCAGAGGTACCAATGTGGCAGGAAACCAGGGCTCATGCTGCCGCTGAGCTAAAGCAGTAGAGGGGATGGCGGCTTCTCTAATACTTTACGTAACGCGCGATTTACGTCTTAATAGCTAAATTATTCAAGTGCTATTTGTCAGAGCGACACAAATGCGCGAGCGCTTGCGCGGCTCACCTATCCAACACTCTTGTTTACATCGTATCAGGCAATGGTTCAGTTTAATTATGGTAAGGGCACAGCCTGTCAAAAACCCTTTTCGCATGATCCGTCGACACCGCCTGAAGGTGAATGCATAATAACGGATCATGAACGTACGGAATCAAACGTTAATAAGCTTGCAGCTTCCGATGAAAATGTATTCAACTTTGTGTCATGCTTGAATTGGTTTTGGACCTCTTCAATGCTTTTAATTTATTTATTATTGTTATTTGGTATTATGAGCTGATATGTATATATACATACGGTATCTAAAATTAAGCGTATAGCGAGCATATTTAACAATTTTTAAGCAATAATGTATTGCAAGCAGCTGTAACTTAAATATCGCATAAAAATCATATAATTATAACACAAAACTAAAATTTTATTGGAATCTAGGTTAAACTAAGATAAAATTAATATCAGCCCCTTCGCCACTCTCAGCAGTCAACCAGGGCTCATAAAAGCTTAACAGCGCCTGGGTCCGTTCACCAACTGTGCTAATGTGAGTGGCGGTGTGGTAAAACCCATTTTAACAGCGTGAATATTTCTCAAATATAAGCACGCTAGCTGCTAGCATACTTGTATCATTTAATTTCTAATCAAATTTATTCGGATATATATTTATTGATTATGTATTGAATTGGTGATAAATAATAAAATTGTCTTTTCTCAAAAAAAAAAAAATTGTCTTTTCTCTAGGATCTAACACGTCCTGAAGCAGACCAACACTATGTCCCAACGCACTGGTGTTGGGATGTCTGCCCCCGGTGCCTGTCCGGGTCAATAAAGCAGTCAAGCATCATGTATGTTATGTTGAGCATTCTCAACCAACAAATGTGGGAACTCCCACGAAAGACCAAAACAGATCCAAAGAGACACTTAAAAACATTGGAAAATAGACTTCAATTTGTTTGTATAATTTATAAAGCGTATATTATTGCCCACGTTAAGGGGCCTGTTAATAATTTATTAAATTATTAGCTATTTTAGATTTAATAATAATCTGACTGCCGGATACATACTGGTAGACTATTCCATTTCAGCATAGATCTATGAAAGAAGCTATTTCGGAAGCAGGAAGGCATCCGGGCAGGGCACAGTGGTTTATATGAAATATCAACAATCAAATATATTGTACACATCTACTCCATCGTGATGGGGGCAGGGATTTGGTTGCAAGAGATTTCCGATTGAGAGGTCTATAATTTGTTATCCATTTTCTTGCCTAGCTCTGCAGCCTCATAAAGCAATGAGCGTTGTTCTCAACAATTTAAAATCGTTATTTTCCCTTCTTCTATTTTTAGACCTATGATAGGCGATGAGATTCAGGTTCTTTCCTCCATTTTGTGGGGTAGTAGAGGGGATGGTGGCTTCTCTAGCTCTGGGATTTAACAGATGCATCGCGTTGTAGCGCGACATGCATTAATTCACGATGTCAATCATTCGCATGAGCTCGGTGAGGCCCAGTGGAGCATCTTGCCGATTTACCGGTTGCTTGTATCACGTCGTGACCCCCACGGTGATCGTTTCACTATGGTGTAGAGTTTCTTCGATACAGAAGAGCCGCGCACTTGTGCGCGGTGGGTCATACAACGTATATTATGACAACCGGTTGCGAGATGAATTATTGATGCGCGGCGCGGCCCAATAGTGCATCGCGCTACAATTTATTTCATTTGAAATATTTAAAAAAATAAAATATACTTATAATTTAACGGGTGATACTCGTAAAATATTTGTTCCAATTATTAGGACCGTCGACGAGTCCAACTCGGCGCGCGTCCTGGTTGTATCACGTTGTGACACCCACGGTCGTTTCACCTTTATCGTTCTGACGATACAGAGGGAGCCGTGCACTTCGTGCGCGGCGGGTCATACAACGTATGACAACGTCCTGGTAGGTTGTAAACCTACAACTTTGAACTTATTATATATAGTGTATTATATACTTTGAATATAATTATAAATGATTAATAATTATAAACTGCAATTGATAATACATATAAAAATTATATTTTTCATAAAGGTGCAAGTTATATTTCCAGGCCACCGAAAGTATGACAATCTCCAAATTACGCGCATCGCAGTTTGCTCTAACCAGAGCCCTCTCGCTTGCAATAGCTGGTAGCGCGAAACAAGCGCGTCACGCAGTACGCGTATACACATGGCTATGTGAACATCGCAGTAACTTCTCTGTTTTCTCAAACTTCATGAATCATGATCATGATATGAATCGGGATCAAATCTTTTGCAATGTATGCAGAATCAATAAATGTATTTGTATAAATCATGTTACTTCATGGAATACTTTTGAAAGAGAATAACATGAACAAGCTCAAAAAACATATTACCTGGGGACCCCAGGCCAGGCTATCACGTTTATAAACAATAAAGATTCGGCCGAATGAGAAGCTGAGCGTTACTGGGCCGCCGCGCGCTCAGCCTGTCATTCCGCCGAATTTCTATTGTTTATGAACAATGAACATGATAGCCTGGGTCCGTATTGTCATACGTTGTATGACCCGCCGCGCACGAAGTGCGCGGCTCCCCCACCATAGTGAAACGACCGTGGGGGTCGCAACGTGATACAAGGTCCGTAGGTAAATCATAAATGTATTGTAGCTTAGTTGCATTAACCAAAGCCCTCTTGGCCGTGCTGCGTACACATTGTCATTTAGTAGCGTGTGGTTACAGTACATATAACATAGCTTGCTAATTTTATTTTAATTTGATTCTAATTTAATTTTAATTTCCCTCTCTGTGTTCGCTTTTAGCTTAACTTATGGCTTAGCATTTCGCCGATCTAGCGTTGCGAGAAGCATAACTGATTGCGCGGCGTGGCACAGTAACGCATCGCGCTACAAAATTCCCCCTTTTATTGTGCAAGCGCGAGAGGGCACCAAAGTCACGTGAAATTTTTGGGCGAGCGAATTAGTATTAGTAAGAGCCGAAATTTTTGGGCGAGCGAATTAGTAAGAGCTGCACTGGTTAGAGCAAAGTTACAAAGTACAACGTTTAAGTACAACAAATACAAAATAGAATGCAGAGCTTTCCGAAATAATTTGAAATAGCATAAAATGTACTGAGCCAAAAACATTTCCTTGTATAAGAGTAAAACATAAAAGTGCTGATGGCACTAAAAAAATTGAATAAAGCAACCAAAGTCTGAATTGTCTAAATCATAAATACAAAATATGTAAGGCTGAAGGCGCGCGATTAATATCTCTCACGAAAGCAGAAAGCACATCCAATTTGATACGTATCAAATAGTTTTATAATTTGCTTTATCATTTATTTTACACTAAGTTGAAGTGTTACCTGGGGACCCCAGGCTATTATATTTATGTTCATAATCGATAGAGATTAGGCGAAATGACAGGCTGAGCGCCTGTTCAAAATTGAACGGGGAATCGTTTAAGATTACTTTTGAACTTGAAGCACCTCGACAAAATCTGCTCACGCTATTGTATTTTTTACGGAGAAATAAGACAATAGCGTGTTTAAGCTTAACTGTTAACGGGTGATAGTGATACTCGTAAAATATCTGTTCCATATACGAGTCCAACTTGGCGCGCGTCCTGGTAGGTTGTAAACCTACAATTTTAAGCTTGTTATTCTCTTTCGAAAGTATTCCAACGCCAAGTGATTTATATAAGTGCAAGATATTATATAAGTGCAAGATTTGATCTCGATTCATGAAGCTAAGTTTGAAAGAAGTTACTACAATGCGTGCAATTTGGGGAGTGTGCTTTCGCGGGAGATATAAAATTAAACTGCGCCAATATGTAATTACTCACTTAATTTTACCAAATATTTTCATTCATTTGAAAACATCATATAAATTGTTTCACAAACAAAGTGTTGAATAAAAAACACGTTCAAGTTAAAGTTATGCATCATATTTAATAAATCTTAAAACACTCAAATCACAAATAACAGAAACCACAAGAAAGTTTGCATTTCTTATTATAAAATTTTCTTCTGGCAAGGCATCTGTCATCATTCTTATTTGTAGGACATCGGCGTGATTTGTCTTTGCAAGTAGCAACTTTGTCTTGACACTGTGATCCTGCAATAAAATTCTTTGTCAAGTTTAAGATTTTAGGAGCTGTTATCCCATGCCACTTTTACCGGCCATTTCCCCAAATGCAAGTCATGAAACGTAAATATTCAAAGGATTCTAAATGATGATCAGCCATTTTAAATAGAAATTTTTAATTTAAATGCGATTAAATGCGACAAAATACAAATTTTACATAGAGGAACTAAGAAATAAATGTACCGATGAACTTTTTGTTGCATTTGCATTTATACGTTGACACACCATCCTCTTTAATCTTTTGACACTTTCCACGATTTTGGCAGGGATTTGGTTCGCATGGATTTTCGTCCTGGAAAATAAGAATAAAACAACAACTCAGAATCGAAAATATAATTTTAAGGCACTAGATCAAGCAGCCCACCTCAAGGTTGTCATGACAACAGTTCAAATAACTCACGGCCTCAGTGCTCACCTCAGAGTTATCCTCTTCTTCTCCAGTAAGCTTCAAGTTAGGATATTCGGGATACTCTCCAATAAAGCACTGGTTACTGATTTTTCTGTCAAACTTAATATACCCTTTTTCGCCCCACCCTGAGCCCCAACTATTCTTTATCACGAAAACGTCAGAGTCATACCCAACAACTGTCACAGCGTGGTTAACCTGAATATTCGGTCGTGATGACAATTAACATTAATAAAAATTCTTCTGAACTATAAAAAATAGCCCTTTGGTCGCCACATTTCAAAATCATTCGGCTGTAAGACTCACAATTTACAGCTGAAAAATGTCGCGAAATAAATCCTTCAGTAATCCTTACTACATAAGTCATAATATATAGTAACACAGCGTGACAGTAATAAGACTACATGATTAGAGGATATAATTATCCAATTACACATTAGCGTTATGTTATACCCTCAAGGTAACCTCCCTCTACTTCACGCACTTTAATTAAAAGTCTAATTAGCCAGTTAACGTGCAACCCGTAAACCTGCACTCCACACGGAGCCCTGATTCTTGATTCGTATTTCCGCGTGTTTCCTCGTTTGCTTGCAAAGCTGTATCGGTGACCTATCACGTGGTCCTACTCCTAGTGAAACTGGGGCGTGGAGGGGTCGCTACATAAAACAAGGGAAAACATTGTGATCCAATATTGCATCTTTGTATTCTGCTAACTCACACAGTTCTTTGCTCTAATTAATTTTCTTTAAACTACCTGCTGTTACATTTTCAACTTCAAGCTCCCGGACAGATGAAGATTTCACTCCCGACTTTACGTAGAACAGGAAAGAAGCGCCGAGCAGCTGTTGCACGGAGCAAGTCCTCAGCAGATAAGAATGTGGTGAACATGAAACTGTTATGGAAGGACCAGCCAGCTGAAAAAGACCGCGTTAGGAAGAAGTGTGTTTCAACTCCTGATCTGCTCGCCTGTTCCAATGTAAACATTACTGATGTGCACACCATCTTTACAGCTGCTGCTGCTGGTTTGAAGAAATCTCCGGTAAAGCAAGGAACTGATGCTGTTGAACGAGAAACCGATGATGTGGCTTCTCCCTTGCCTTCATATGTAAAGCTATCACGTGTTAACCTTGTACAACAGCGAGCCAACACTCCAATAAAACGATCGAACCTTAGACTTATCCTACCGGACGAAGAAGAAATAGGAAGAAAGAGAACAAGATCTGCTGCAACACAAGAGGGGGTGGAGACGACTTCTTCTAAACCCTTGAAATCTCAGAAACTCTCAAAATCCTGCGTGTCGTGTGTTCAAGAAGACTGTGTGGTTTGTACACTTGCTCAGCCCCATCTGAGGCATCGTGTGGACTTTCAGAAATATATTTGGCGCGAGTTCTATTGATTAGACACCAAGTCATGATAATATGAATTCTATATTCTTATAACTTATTTAAAGATATGTGACATTGTAAATATGGATTTCTCGGAAAATGCTCTTTCAAAACCTATTTTCAAATATTCCTAAAAGACGATTTGTTATAAAATGAAAATAATATTTTATCACTAACGAATAAAGATGAGTATTTTACTTGCTATTAGAGCCCAGATGAAATAAACCCGATCAAGAATTCTAAAAGATTACGACCTCTATCATGCTTGACATACCTCAATTTTAAAGGAGTCATAGATGCTTTGAAGCGTAAATGGAATAGCAGAAAAAGTAGCTAGATCTTCAAAGATGTAACACATCGAAAATAGAAATTACAAATGTACTTCACCTGGTTTTTACAGTTCTTTTCATCGTAAACACCTTGACCGTAGGTGTACATGGCGTTGACAACCTCGATAGCCACTGTCACTGGTCCTATTGAAACTGCACGTGCGAGATTCTTTTCGAACGGTGCTTCCTTCTGGGAAACATCACACAAATCATGTTTAAATTTCATACCATTCGTTATAACATAGATATCCTTTTTACAATGATTATACATTATCTATACTTAATTCGTTATGCATAAAGTTTCCAAAATTATTTGATTGAATAGTTTTATACTGCAGCAGTCGCATGTGGATTGTGGCCAACTAAAATAAGCACTCCACAACAACAACAAAGTTACCTCATTATCGTTAAATTCAACTTGAGTGTAGGAAGTCACAGCCAGATTAGCAGCAACAAGAGCGTTAACAACTTTGGTGCCCCTCTTAGTGAAGATGTTGGTTACACACTCAGATCCACCTTTACCTGTGTAGCCGTACGTCTCGGAGGTTGCAAGCCTGGTTGTTAAAAGGGTAATACAGTGAGTGTGAGTCGTTTCTGTGAGGTCATCTTAGTTGATCAGACTAAAACTCTAAGACAAGATTATTTGATTAGAATATTCCAGATGATGCTAATTGTAAATTGTCTGGCAATGTAGTCACTAGGCAGGGAATGGAGACGTTATAGACGTACAACATTAAGCACGTTATGTTACATTCCCGCTAAACTGAAATCTAAAATGTCTGACCTGTTTCCCAACTTATTCCTGATCTGTTTGAAAGCGTCCCCCATCCATCCTCCTTGACAACCGTCATACCCGTAGTCGCTGTAGGTACAGTCCAAGAGTTGTTGTTCGCTAAGCGTCTTGAGAGTGCCCGCTGAGAAACAGACTCAATATATTATATGATACAGTATACAGTGAAACCTCTTTATTGTCTATACCGGGCCTCTTTGGGGAAACAAAAAGTGCACGGTGTAGGAGAAAACCCAGTATAGAGGTTCACGTGATCCCAACCCTCAGTATCTGTAGCCTCTCAAATAACCTGTCAAGCGTCTCATATAGCCCTTATATGAAGGTATTGTGATACAATGCAACTCGATGCAATGTACTCAAATCACCAACCAAATGCGTTATGAGCTATGATAAGTCACACTTCTTGCACAAAACGAGCTAATTAACTTAAAGTTAATTAACTTAAAGCTAATTAACTTAAAGTTTATATTGAAACGAGAACGTGAACAGTGTGGCATTGGTAATGGTACTGGTGGATTGATGAGCACACATTTGAACAGTTATTAAAGTTTTACAGTGGGTTTGTTTGAGAGTCTCGTTAGTTTAAAAAGCTACTTTTTATAGCGTAGTGTGACTCGAGTGATGCAACAGCAGCAAACGCCCAACAACTTCCGCAGGACCCCTGCGCTTTCGTCTCCGTTACATTACCTGTAAACAAAAACCTTGAGCTGGGTGGAACCATGCAGCATGTTTCAATTAAAAAAAGGGGGGGGGGGGGGGGGGGGGGGAATGAAAAATACTTTTAAATACAAATTTACGGATATTTTAATGTTACTGACCATTTTCGTACCAATTGACAGATTGAGGAAGGTCAGCAGCAGCACCAAGTCTACCAGCCCCTCCCATTGATAATCCTTCAGTGGGCCGGTAGAATGATATGTTTAACCCTGCAACCCGGACATATTGATGTTTAACAAATCAGAATATTACTCTTGTTGGCGTTTAAATGGTTTAAATGGTTAATTTAATTAAGGGAAATATTCTCTCAGTCTAGAAACTTAATAAACCATTCATACAGATATGCTATTAAATACCAGTAAACATTTCCAGTTCCTCGTCACTCATGATAGCAAACTCATTAGAAACAGCTTCAAAACTACGCCCCTCAGAGTTTATCTCTTTTATCTGCAATATGTAAAATTTCCAGAATCTCCATAGATATCAGGAAATGAATAATTTGGAATGATACAAATATTTATAGAAGTGACATAAATAAGATCAGCACCAAATTCTAGATCGATAAAGTTAAGCAACTAGTGACCACGTGTGATAACCACGTGTGCTAACCACGTGACCACGTGTGCTGTGACCACGTGACCACGTGAGCTAACCACGTGACCACGTGTGCTGTGACCACGTGTGCTGTGACCACGTGTGGTAACTGCTAACCACGTGACCGAGCCTTACCTTAGAGTATCGGGTCCTGAATATGCCGTATCTAGCAGCTGATGATAGTCGTTTGGTTGCTGATCCATAAGGGCTGTCGCTGGAGGACTGAAAGGTAAGAATATTGAGATGCTAGTTAATTGTCCGTGAGCTGACTTTTTGTCTGTTTTCAAAAATGTGTAAGATTTCAAATTATAGATTAATTCGTTCACTTTTAAACCTGAAGTCGCCGAGTAAGTTTATAGAACTCTGCCTTATACTCATCCTCAGAAACAGTAACAGCAGAGTAAGAGTAGACTAATACAGCGAGTAAAACGACTCTTACTAACATATCTGATAAGTTGGAGAAAATATTTAATGATAAAATCAGACGAAAGTTGGAACTGATACAACAGAAATGCTTAATATCGTGGTCAATTTACACTAGATGCATGGAGTTTATTAAGCGTTACAGAATGATTTCACTGAGCTCAAACACGAAAGTCTATAGTTGAAATTAAAAGTTTTAAATTCCTGACAGGTCATCGCATTAATGATATTTGCTAACAATACAACAATGTTAACCTTGAGCTGGTGCTTGTTTTCATGATTGCTTCAAAGGCAGAGACTGAACAAATAGTGACGTATACTTGTTAATAGTGGCGGTCGAGTACTATTGCGTTTGAAAGCTTAACAATCGACAAAAATGGCGTCAATTAAAAAAACCTGAATATTTGACTGTTGTTTTCTTCAAAGACTCATAAATTGTACTAATTTTTAATAATTGAGCCTATTTAAGTTAATTTCACTAAACATTCCTAAAATATTCGTGATTCTAAACAAACAACACAGTCAAACATTACATAAAATATGACCAACAGAAGCATGCACTGTACATACAAAGCTAAAGTGACACATGCTGTCTACCAATTAAGTGGCAGCAACTGTCACCGACACACATTTGTAAACAAAAACAACATTAAATTTACCTTTTCCTGCTACCCTGGTAATTAGTTTACTAAAACTATCTGTAAGCAGTTCTCTGATCGTTTGGCTGTTCGATAAAATGTTGCGATTACTCTGTCTGCTGTCCGTGTGCTTGTCTGTTTGTGTGTCGGATGTCGACAAGGCATGGGCTAAATTCCGACAGAAGAAGTACACGTCTTTTATTATAACAGAGGGAGTGGGTGAGGATGGGGAACCCATTGAGACAATCGAGGATACTGTAAATGATCTGAGTAAGTTCAATAATATTATTTATGTTGTGCAGTTCACAGCTGACATTTTTATCGGATTTATACAAAAACCTTTGTATTAAAATGTTGATAGAAATCTTAAAGCTGGTGATTATCAGAAAGGAAGGAGGAAAAAGCAAGATTTACAAACTTCAAGAAAACGTTCTCACTAATAGAGGAAACAAACAAAGGACAGAAAGACTTCCAGGCAGATGTCAACGACTTTGCAGACTATTCTGAGTCAGAGTGGGAGGTCAACCTTTTCGGTACCGTTATTAAACCAGACTTGTACATTATGATTATGTGTTTAAAGTTTACTCCGCCATATCTTCGATCGTGTGTTTATGAACACTCAAGTCTGGGTCCCCAGGTAATTTATAGCTTGTGGTCAAGGACAGGACAATAAGGAATGGGGTCTGGGCACTCTGGGGACCGATCATAACTAGATACCCTTAACCCTTTAACCGCGAAAATAAACTATGATGCCTCGATGTAACGCTATTTCCGTTGCAAATCCGAGTTTAACTGTACTCTGATAAAACTCAAATATCAATCCAAATTTGTTGTGCAGGTTTGAACATGACGAGAAGGGCGGAGGAGGAAGGAATGTTTGCTCCTGAGGAGGCCGGTGTTAGCTCAGAAGGTGCCCCAGATTCAGTTAACTGGGTGGAGAAAGGAAAGGTTTGACTTATTTTTTAAAGTAAACACCAAATTTGTATTGTTAATCGGTTTGATCGAAATTCAAATAACGAATGGACACAGTGAACAGACATAGGCAAGTCCCCACTCCCCATTCATCGTAGTCCGATAGTTTCACTGCATCCTAATATTACAAAACAGGTAACTGGGATCAAGTTTCAAGGCGTCTGTGGAAGTTGCTGGGCCTTTGCAGCAATCTCCGTCTTGGAGTCTCACTATGCTATATACGGTTAGCTAAACTCCGCGATCTTCATAGGAAATTGAAACTAAAACACCAAATGATATCGGGACATAGGGTTTGTGATGAGTCAAAACAGCAATAAGGTTGGTGCCCGAATAAATGTGAAATTAAATATATCTCGATGTGTAGCGTATCAATAAACAATACAACTACTGGCAGGGGGAAGTTTGAAGTTCATGAGCGAACAACAGTTGCTGGACTGTGTGTACCCTGACGAAGACGCTTGTCAAGGTTTACAAACTCTTTATGTAAATGCTGATGATTAAGATTAAACACATCCGACCAAGGAACCTTTTGGAGTAGAGGTTAAGAAATAGTGCACTTTTAAACAGAAATAGTGCACTCTTTAACAGAAATAGTGCACTTTTAAACAGGCTCCATTGCAGGAGGGTGGTACAGTGACGGGTGGGTTGCTATCAGATCCCGACTATACAACTCACTGCCCACAGAGACCAGTTACCAGTACCTAGGTTCCACTACACAGTGCGTCAGACAGAGAGGAGATAACGCACTGGTAGCTGCTAATGTGGACTATCCTCAGATCGTCAGCGTTCCTTACTCTGATCAGCAGGTTTTTACTCCGCGACCCTAATTTAAATGTTTTGACTGAATTTTTCTTGAATGATCATCTTACAGTTACAAGGTCACTGAGGATGGCGCAAGACAAAATTGAGGTACTGAAAGTTCTATTTCCAAGGAAAGCTTTGATGAACGGAAAATCATCAGAATATAAAAAGAGATTTTGGAACATTTTTGAAGAGGAGCTTTCCTGCCATCCCCTTGACCGAAATTTCGCGGTTTTGACTGAATTTTTTACCAGTGACTGCATACGTTTTATAAATTTTCCTTACTCAGTTCAGCAGGTTTTTACTCCGCAAACGTTTTAAAGTTCCTTAATCAGATCAGCAGGTATTTTTTGTGTTAGGATAATATCCTGAATGCTTACTGATAGGCGTGCAAGAAATTCCTGAGCTAAATAGGGCCGGTAGCTCAATTGGTAGAGCACCAGGCATGTAACTCGGAGGTTGGCGGATCATACCCGCCCCGGCACTATGCCGGCCCATGATTTTCCGAATCGCTTACCAGTGGAAATCTAGTCAATTCAAATATCTGCTTATATGCTTGGTATTCATGGTCGATAAAATCACAGCCCAACCACATTCTTGACCAGATCACATGTGCATACGACATCCTTGGGAGCCGTCAGTTGAGCTTGCTCTCTGACTCGTGGGTTGAAAACATCGTGTACAGTACTTCGTGAGTAGTACAGTACTTCACAACGATAATCCGCCTCCCCAATCGCAAATTAAAGGATAATATCCTAACACAAATATTCGAACTATTTAGTAGATAAAGCTATAGGTAGTTTTATAACTTTAATTATTTACAGCTGACATCTTTGATCGTTAATTTTTCTTAGTGCTGTATAACATTTCAAACTAGCAGCCTCGTGCCTCTGGTTAGTGATACAAGGAGACGAAAGCATGTGACTCGGCTCCATTAGCATTAGTATCTCATATTACCCGACCTCTAGAGTTGTTGCATCATCATATCATCTTGATTGCTTAATTCTCTCCCACAGCTGCTGTTGTAACTATATAATTGTTATACTTGTCGGTGGCCCATCAGGCGAATCTGGCGTTTCGGTATATGAATATTTTAGAATTCTTTGTTGTTAAAGCGTATCGGCTGCTTCTGTAATGACAATAATTTAAAATTGAACGTTTTAATGAAAAGGATAATCTGAGACCCTCCAATGCCAATGTTTCATGGCTATAATGCATGAACTATAATTTTGAATAAAATGATTGGCTATTGATCTGAAGTAAGACTAGTTTCTATTGATATTGGATGTAATGCTTCCTCGGGACTGAACAAATGCTTTCAGCAAACAACTCAACCAACTTTGCTATAAACCAAAACGGAACACGATGGTTCTGGATACTTTCCTTTTTACAATCTCGTTATCCTACTGTCATCACTTTTGGGGATACAATCATTCTGTTAGCTGCTATTAAAATTTAAATACAACGCCATCAAACTGCACAGGGTAGTTTTGGTTGTAATGCAGCATTTAGCTGCATGCAATCTTCAGAGTATTTCCAACGATTGTGTCAATCATTGCGGACCGTTGGGTTCTGGGAGGGGTGCTTTGCTGTCTCCAAGAACACTTTGCTAGCGTGTGCACCGCCGCAACAGTTAGCCTGTCTGGTGCCTCTCTATCAGCAAGTCCCTGACAATCAAGTACACTTTCAGATCTAGAACTTGGTCAGGGAGGACAACTCACAAAATCTGTGCAGTCATCAGGATGCTTCGTTTCTTTACACCAACCGAGTTGGGGCTCTTTTACATTCTTCTGACTGATTCGAATCCAGTATATTTCAATTACATTAGCTACACTTGTGACTATAAATACCCACTTGCATCAACATGGCTCAACATAGCTACCGAGCTGTATCTTACAATCTGCCTAGCTTTATGGTTCTTAATACTAATCGCAAGTTCAATATACCTGTTATTTAAAGCTCTAAAGGGAGCACGTGAGCACGAGAGATCAGTGCCGTGGCAGGGGATAATAACTGTGGTGTTTACTGCAACTAGTCTCGTCTTCTCCTTTCTACCTTACATCACTGTGCAGCTCACTCGAGCATCAGTTGCCGAAAATGTCGACCTACGGCGGACTGTTGTGTACTTTCAAAACATCAATATCATGACTAATTTCTATATTTACTCTCTGACAGTGCAAAGTTTTAGAGACTTCCTGAAAGCACGGTTCCGTGATGTTGGGTCCTTATTTCAACGAAATTGTAACCAGATTTCTGGAGGAACGGACGATTCACCCTCTGACTTGTAATCTATCACCGTTCTAGACTAGGATTTTTGGGTTTATTATTGGGACTTGGTTTAGAGTTCGGGTTATTGCTTATACTTAAAGTGTTCGAGTTCCGTGTTATAGCGAGGGTTAGAGTTGAGAGCAAAGTTAAGGTTAGAGTTAGATCAGGATTGAAATACGTTTTACTTTTATGTATTAAATTTGGGTGAAACAGTGTGAGGGGCAAGGATCATGTACTCGAATGTATAGCTGGCCTCAAACTTGTGCCAAGTATTCAAGAGTCAACTTCTTGTCCTCACACACAAGAAGTTAGCACATACAATTACAACAAATTCAACGAGCCTTCTATATTCAGTTTGGATCTGTACAAAATTTATTTATTGTATGTATAATATATATCTAATTATAAATTATTGTTATCTAGGGAAAATCGGAATCTCATCCTCCTTTAAAAAGTCCTGTTTCAGAGTGGTCCGATCTACGACCAAGATCTAGCTAACGCTGTAGCTATAGGACCTGTAGCTGTTGCTATGAGGGTCGTTAGTACATTCAAAGTCTACAAAGGGGGCCTGTACACTGAACAGAACTGCAAAAGTGGAAATGTGAGTATATCTGACTACAAAAATGCCGTATTTTCAATATAGGACTTTTTGATGGGAAATTAAAAACCTTTACTGTGAAAAAACGAAAATATGATTATGTCAGAATTTAACCATACCTTTATTGTTTATAATTATAAAAGTATGGTTTATACCTCCACCGAAAGCACATCCAATTTGATACGTATGAAATATGTCTAAAACTTGCTTGATTCTGCACTAAGTTGGCGATCTGCGACCCAAATTGCACATGGAATCGTTTAAGATCACTTTCGACTTTCGAGGCACCTCGACAAAAGCTACTCACGCTATTGCGCTTTTCACGGAGAAATACGTCAGTAGCGTTTTTGAGCTTGTTATTAGCTTTCAAAAGTATTCTAAGTGATGTGTATAAGTGCATATATTAATTCTGAATACATTGCAAAAGATTTTATCTCGATTCATGAAGTTTGAAAGAAGTTACACTTACAGCAATGCGCGCAATTTGGGGAGTGTGCTTTCGGTGGAGATATAACCTGTGCCTACCTTTAAACATTATGATTAAAGTATAAAACGTAATAGTAACACATATCCAACAAAAGCCAAACCATGCGGTTGTGGTGGTGGGATACACTCCGGAGCGGTTCAAGATCCGAAACTCCTGGGGTACGTCCTGGGGAGAGAAGGGGTACGCTTGGTTTGACAGGAGGGTTCAAAACCAGTGCTGGATAGCTAAGTGGGCCGAGTACCCTAAACTCACCGACACTGGCAAACCTGACGAAAAGGTAGGTCTCCAAGGTGGTCTCCGAGGTGGGGTCCTAGTAATAATTGATCAGTTTTTTGCGATTATTTAAATTACGTTTGCAATTAAATGTCATATAATATTTGGTGCCTTGTGGCGTGATTGTTTGGCATTTGCAGAGAATCAAATAAATACTTAGCCTTAGGCAACTATATGTTGTCTTCGCTATACACTGTATTATATATTATATGTATATTACTAATACTATGCATAATGTACATTACAATTAATTACTAAACCTTTACTAAACCTTTAAACTCAGAAATCGGAGGATCCCTGCCAGTCTCTGACATGTCTGAACCGCGGAGTGTGCGCCCCCAGCAAGGACAAGAGAACAGCACGATGTTTCTGCCCTATCGGATTTGAGGGAGACAACTGCGAAGCTAAGGCCTGTGTGGACGTTATCAAGAGGTGTCCTAAACCAGCGTCCAAGAAGTGCAGGAACAAGAAATATCAGACCAAGTGTCCTGTCACCTGCGGATCTTGTTATAATTGATGGAGTCATTATTTGGCGGTTGGACGGATTTTACTGGGTCTCAATTTAACTTTTAGCGTTAAGTAGTGATCCTTTTCGAATTTATAGTTAAGTTATTTTAACTTTAATAGGAATCGTTGGGCAAAAATAGTCCCATTACTTTTGATAATTTTATAATCGTCTAATTGATTGAAGATCGATGCTGTATGAGTTTGAAAAATAAAACACTGTATATTATGAATATGAATTTAAAAAGTAAAGTGAAATTTTTAAATTCTACAAAAAGGTCCTGCCGACACACGGGAAGAGCACACAAAAATAAATATTCCAAATAATAAAGCACAGGTTCAAGAAAGAGAGTCAAGATCTCAAGTGCCTCCACAGTCCACACAGGTCTAGGTTTTGAAAGATGATGTTCTCAGTCTATTAAAGAGATATGTTCAAGATATTGAACAATAACTGTAGTAAGAACTTGTCTCAGTATCAACTCCAGGTGTGTCTGTCCCGCTTTCCTGTTGTGTTGTCTCTACAGCTCCTGAAAGTGCTGGTTAAAGTTTATTGACCAGGTGATCCCAGCGGAAAAAATCAGCGAGGTAAATTGTGTGTGGTAGGCGACACAAATAGCAGCTAGATGCTAACGCAACGTTCTGTGAATGTATCAAGGGTAGTGAAATAGTGAATCAAACATGATCTTGATGGTGAAATTGTCAGATGACTTAAATATCCTGGGTTTATGTGTACCTGGGCTGACTTGAACAGCCTTGGCCCCAGAAGTTATATCATGCAGTGACGTGATGGGTGGGGTGAGAGCTAAAACAGTAGATTTACATTCTTCGGGGGGAGGCGGAGCATCTTCGGTGTCATCAGAAGGACCCGGGACCCACAATCCTGAGTCGATACATTTCTTCAGCCATATCTGGGCCTCGTCAGGTTTCATAGTAGTCAGCACTTCTTGTAGCTTACCAATATCTTTGGTATCGAAACAGTTCTGGAGTTCCTAAAAATTTCATAAATATAATTTGGGGAAGTTTGGACTTTGGGGAGCATGTAATTTAATTTGATCTTTAGATCGATCCATTTCAAGATACAGTAAAACCTCAGATTTACAGATTTACCGCGCCCTGATTTACTGCAAACCACGATTTAACGCGGATAATTCTTTTTATTTCCCCAATTTTTTCTTCAAAATTTGCCTAGACAATAAACGTGGAGTCAAAATTTGTAAAGTTACCGTTATCTTTCATACGAAATTTGATACAAGCTGGATAATTAAAGATATCAAGTTTGAGAAAGTTATCGAACAGCTGTCAAATAACTTTAAGACGGCAGACGCATTTGTCATCCACCAATAGTTTCTAGGTCACGTGTCTTATTTTATCCTAACACCTTCATCTGGAGGGGGATTTGTTTTAAAACATATAAGAGATACGAGAAGTTTGTTTTTCTTCAAAATAAATGTGGTTAACACCTTCACTCCTAAGTTCACTCCTGCTGATAGCATTTGTCATCGTCCCTAAAAATACACCTATCACATGACATTAGCGTGAAAGTTTTAATTGATTTGTCCACGATTTCAACGGTGCCGTCGAATCTGAAAGACTTCTAGTTATTCTAAAAGAGTTCTGTTGAATACAATTTTAGTATCTTTGACTTCTAATAACCTTAACGTGATAACCAATTTATGTTTGATATGTTGTACCCTATCCTAAGATGAGTAGCTAGACACTAGACCAAGTGTTACAAGGAACATCATCAAATGGCGAACTCTTTCGTGCCTAATAAAGTGCATCGTACCATGGGAAAAAACGGGCCATTGCAGTAATTTCATCAGAGACCTTCATTAGTTTAGTAAATAATTTCCAGATAAAACTCCCGAAGCGCTAAAAGCGACCTGCGACAACCATTTAATTTGATCATTCCGGACCTTGTCGCAGGTCGCTTTTAGCGGACACGAGGAGCATGAGCAGAGGAGTTAGCAAGACCTCCGGCATCAGAAGATGCTACAGGGTCATGAGCAGCGCATGATATACCAGCATGCCTCTTGTTGCAGAAAACGCAGAAGATGATGTGAACCCTGCTTGATTCAGGGGATGATGTGAACCCTGCTTGATTCAGGGGATACTGTTATTATACAGTGGTCCGCGGAGAGTGGTCCGCGGACCAGTGGTCGGGCTATCTCGATACTGCCGCTTTTAGGGCTTCGGGAGTTTTATCTCACTTATTTAGAGAAGGATAAAATTAAAAGGTTTTTGGATCGAGGCCATTCCTTTTCCTGTTCATTTCCACTTCCGTTGTTTTTTCGCTGAGCAGTGTGGACCTTACTAAAACATAAATGTTTATTCAAAAGTTTATAAAAGCAATCCTCTAGGAAGCTCTGATGAAAGAAAAAAAGGAAAATGGTGCAAAACAGGAGCCTGGTACAGAATCAGGACAAGAAAATAAGCCGCTTGTGGGAAAAGGACCGCTTACTATCGACGAAGCAGTGGACAGTATCTATAATGGTATGAACCTAAAACTTCTGCTGGTCTTCCTGACCGCAACTGGGACTGCGACCCAGACCCCCATGCAAATCTACATCACTATCTTCGCAGGTTTCATCCCTTACACCAAGTGGGATTGCATCTCGAGCACGTGCACAGCTCTACTGAACAAAACTAGCGATATCAAAGAGTTCTACAGCCGCAAGACGATGTGCGACAATAATCTGGAGGCAGGAACGGACTTCAAGTGGACCAGCGAGAGAACGAGCTTCTCGATAGACTGGGGGCTCTACTGCGATGATGAAGCTAAGTTCACCACTATTTCTAGCTTCTTCTTTATAGGTGCCACATTGGGTCTTCTCGTGTGTACTGCTGTGTTTGATAGGTTTGGTAGGAGGAACGGAGCAATAGCAGGGAATCTGATCGGAGCTACTGCAACTCTTATCGGAACATGGGCTCCTTCTTTTGAGGTGATGCTTGTCATCAGGATCTTTCAGGGGGTGGGAATGTTCATTAATCTCACTGGCATCTACGTCTGGTCCGTGGAGTTGACTCCAACCCATCTTAGAAGCTTCGCTAATGGTTCTATTATGAACATTTGGTCGGTGGGCTATATGTGTATAACATTGTGTGGTTACTTGATACCCACCTGGAATTACATCTTCCTAACAGTGGGTATTATTAATTACATTCTTACTATCCCTCTCCTGATATATCCTATCTCTCCAAGATTTGCTCTGGTAAGAGGAAGAGAGGAAGAGGCTAAAAGAACACTGGAATCCTTCTCTCGGCTCTGCAACAACGAAACATCAATGGCTGATGTGAACTTGACCTACAAAAAGAGAGTTTTAACATTCTTCGAGCAGCTCAAAGATTTCAAGATTTACCCTACCTTACGAAAAGAGACCCTCTTAGGCCTGATAGCATGGTTCATTGTAGCTGTGCTCTTCTATGGTTTCTCCTTTGGATGGGTGCAGATTTCATCTGACCTGTATACAGGTCACCTAGCAGCTGCTATCAGCAAGTGTTTTGGCTACTCCAGCGCAATCCCGCTTTGCAACTTGATCGGTAGGAAGAAGACCCTGTTGAGTATCCTAGCACTAGGTCTCTTCTCAAACTTCCTAGCCATGCCTGATGTTCAAATCTCTGAGGACTGGACTCTGGAGTACGTGGCATGTCTGATTGGTAACTTAACATGCTCTGCAGCGTTTGGAGTGATGTATCTTTACACGGGGGAGCTCGCTCCCACTTCTCACAGAGGTATGATCATGTCACTCAGCTCCGCTTCTGCTCGGGTGGGCAGCTTTACTGGTACCTATGTGGGACTCCTCTACGCTGTTGCTGACCGGCGTGTTCCTCTAGCTGTGTTCGCTGGGCTGACCTGTGTCTTCATACTCTCTATATGCTTCATGTCAGATCCTACTGGTAGGGGGATCCCTGAAACACCTCTAGATGTGGAAATAATGACGGGTAATAAGGATTTTGTAGAGCCGTGTGAGGATGGGGTTAAAACTGAGGCTAGAAGTTAATAGTCGAGCAGTTTGTTAACATTTTAATCATTATCATAACTAGTTATATCTAGACAACCGAGCTTGGATGAGATGTTTTAACCCGGGACTATCAAATAAGTTTATTAACAATCACTTGAGTTTTAATAGCAGCTAAGTATTGCTATTAACACGTTAAGTTTAGAACATCTGAATGGTACAATAAAACCCCGATTTAGGTTGGCCCGATCGGGTTTTACTGTACTACAAACATATAATCACTCTGTGTTGATTTGTATCTTTATCTATTGTTCAAATTATCAGAATTATTCGTTTCCAAATCATCACATACTTTTGTTAAAATGGTGAACTCTTTCGTGCCTAATAAATTGTATCATGGGAAAAACAGCCTATTTAGACAACACTTTTTCACACCATTTCGAAAATTGATGATTTTGCAGTAATTTCATCAGAGACCTCCAGATAAAACTCTTGAAGCCCTAGAAGCGACAACCATTTAATTTGATCATTAAAACCTCTTATTTAGAGGAGGATCAAACTAAAGAGTGATATCGGAAATTAGGAAATTAGGACGATTACCAATCATGTGTTCAGTGACCAAATTGAGTAGGATTGAGCTTAAATCTTCGGAATTTTGAAAATACGTAATGCGGCAATTATATGCTAAAAACAATTCGCGGGTGGACGGTTCACGAATCGCGTTTCGGCAACCAATTGCACAACAAGAGCATGAATAGTTGCGTACTATTTAAGGATACTTACAGCAGGTAATTCCTCGTACACCTCCTGGGGATCCAGTCCGCCTGGTCCTAGCCTCTTTTCTCTCTCCTCTGCCTCGATCTGAAGGGAGTGTAGCTGTCAATGGTGTGTTTGAAAAGATAATTCATGGACGAATTTCAGACAAAATATAAAATATCTGCTTTTGAAATTTATCTTAATCTTCGTATATTTTGGACCCACCTCGGCCATAAGTTTGTCTGTCTTTTCTTTAGATCTCCTCTCAATGCGGGCGATAAAGGCTTTCAGTTCTGAATTAAATCCCTCCATGTACTTAGCATCACATGTCTTGATTCTAGAAAGAAATATACATAGTAATCTCAAACTTTTAAAAAGGAATTCTCACATTGAGACAGAACGGCGCGAGCGATATCATCCATTCCGTCGTTGAAAAATAGAAATCAAATATACGTCGACTGAAAATTGATCTGAAACAAAGGTTGGAATTACTGTCAGATGAAATTCCTGTGGGAGTACTTACTTTGTAAAGAACGAGGGTACACAAGCGATGGGTGGTACCTCCATTGTCTTAGCTAGTTCCAGTATGTACTGCATCACAATAGTTTGGTGAGCCACTTGCTTCATAAGTCCGTTTTTCTGAAGAATATCGATAATATTATTAACATTAGTATAAGTTATTTAAATGGTAACCATTTATAACGCCAGTTTCAGAAACTATTAACTAACAACAACCACATGCAAAAAACAAATGAAATCAAAATGTTGATTAAAAAAACAAACAGACAGACCCACAAACAAATAAACACACAAGTCACAACCAAACACACGCACAAACACACCAACTTCTCACCTCCTCCATCTGTAGGTTGACACACCAGTAGGTCAGGTAGTTAGCCGTGTCCTCGCAGGCCAAGTGTTTGTTCGCTAGCAAGTACTCCTTGCTGTCGTCCCAGTTGCTGTAGTAACCGAACTTTTCGATCTCACTCTTGTACTTGTCCATGAACTTTTGCTGAAGTTGCAGAAATTTAAAGCGAATACTATAAATGGTGAGTGTTGACAAATAGCAGTGAATTACTCAAACTTGCCCAATTAAATGAAATTAGTAGCAATTTTTACGCGAAATGGTAAATTGTGCGAATAAGAATAACTCCAGCCCCGTTACAATCGCACTGTTCTGCTCTTAATTTAATCCTGATCAATTTATTGAATCATGTTATGTTCCCATTACATCCACCTACATACACTATACAGTGAAGAAAACCGAGATGAATATTTAATATATTATGCCAGGCAGATTTATTGCACCCATTTCTTGCATGATGAACTTTAGACCCAGCGTTTCCGAGAAACTCATCATAATTCTCGTGTTTCAAAATTTAAAATGTTGCAGAATCTTTTTGACTCAAATGATGTTTTATAACAAACGCTTTAAAGAGGCAATGAGGGGTAACATTTTATAATTTTATTACCTATCTTAGTATATTGAAGGACGTTCTAGATCAGAAACATACCGTGTCACCATCACACCATTATAGGCTCTAACTCGCACAATGTTACCAGCACTCATTAGCACCTATCGCAAGACTAGTACCTAACTTTCGCAAGACTAGTACCTAACTTTTGCAATTAAGACCAGCAGGTACTCAGGATATATTTTATAATTTATTGATCTCACTTTTTCGTGTATGCAACTATGTTTATGTTCCGTTTGATCCTAATCAATTTATCTCTCCTTGCTCATGCTGTGCTGTCAGAGGAGATGCTCACACGTAGTGATAGAAAAAGTTATTCAGCTCTCAGATTTGCTAACGATGAGTCCAGTTATATATTGTTTACCCCCAAAATGGATAAACTGACTGAAAATTTTTCTGTGTGTCTCTGGATAAAGAAGCTGCAAGCAGGAAACATCCAGTGCCCTTTCGGATACACATCTGAATATGAGATATTCATGACAGATAACGGTTACTACAACAGGGTGTTTGGATCGAGCGTCCTTGATAGAGCACTTACCAGCAAATTCACAACCCCCGCTGGTAGCTGGTTTCCATATTGCTCCACATGGAGCTTTGATTCAAGAACCTACAAAGTGTATGTGAACGGGTTACTGGCAGGAACAGAGACCACACCCTCCGGTAGGAAGCTGAAGACAGGTGGAAAGTTAGTGTTGGGGAACATGTACTCGGGTTCAGGTCACAGATTCGGAGGCGAGATGTATGGTTTCAATGTATTCTCTAAGGTGCTGACTGCTGTAGAAGTAGCTACCATGGCAGCAAGAGGTTTCTGTGCAGATATCCCCGTAGAACTACAAAAGTATAGAGTCATTAAATGGGAGGAGATCGTGACGCTAATCAGATGTGGCACAGTTGAAGACTTTGTCGACCCAAAGTGTGCTGAGGCTGCAGTTGTTAAAGTGGGCGAATTGTTGTCTCAGCTAGAGGATGTAGAAAATAGAGCAATGGCTACCCAAAGACAGTTACAAACAGCTGTAAGTGAAAAGAATAGTATCGAAATTTCTTACAACCAGTCGCATGCAGAGCTGCTAAAAGTTCAAGGACTCTTCAACTCTACGCAGGAGGACCTAAAGGATGTAAAGATAGAGTTGGGTGCAACTCTAGGAAAACTGACCGAAACAACGACTGATCTTGAAGATACACAGTCTGAGCTTGAAGATACCCAGTTTGAGTTAAGGAATGTCACTGAGTCTATATGTCCGCTCCACAAGGGAAACTTGACAAAGTGGGATATATTTTACTCGCCCACCTACTATAATAAAACTTTTACTCGCCATCTCTACCAACAACTACGCACTACTTGGGACTCCGTCAGCAGTGAGATATAATAAGTTTATGTAATTGTTAATTTAGCAAACTATTCCTAATTTCTGATTTGTAGCACACGTTAGTACATGCTAATTGTTTTATTTTGTGCCTTGGTTATTCAGCTCGCCAATAAAATGTTAACTTTTTTATTTATGATTTTATTTTGAATGCGTACTGGAACCATCAATGGGGTTTTTCGACTCACTCATTGCATCATTTCAAAGCGTTCTTACATTACAAAAAAATTAAAATTTATAACTAATTTTCACTCTCATTCAGAGCAACTGTTTGGATTGACGATGACAGACACGGTCATCAAGCTGATCAAGAATCTGGACGAAGAACAAAACTGCGGAAATCTATAATGCCTTGCTGAGTTGCTGTCGTTAAACGTTAGTGGGGTCGCTAAATTGGCGTGTGAAGTTAAAATTCCCTAAAAAAGAAAAAAGTGCAGGGCAATTGATTTATTTTAACTCACCGACTGGTCGTTACTTAAATACAATAATACTATAATATACATTATACATTATACATTATACATTATACAGTGTACAGACTTACGGAATGGTCGAGTCTTTCCTCCTCGGATAATTCCTTCTTCTTATCTGGAAGCTTGTTAACCGTCTGCAGATTAAAAGTGTGATCAAAGTCTTAAGGCTGGGGGTTCACCCTGAATTTTTTGTGAAACTTGGTTTCGAGATAGCAGTTGACCAACAAACTAGGACCGGTGACCGAACTTTTGAGGGGGTCCCGGACCCCAACCGCCAAACGGTGCCCGCGGGGCAGCCACGCCCATAGTTAGGCCTTTAAAAAAATTTGGCGGCCAAATTCTGAAAAATGCCCGGCAAATTTCAGAATTTGGCCGCCAAATTTTTTTAAAGGCCTAACTCAAAATTCCATATTAAAACTTAAGGTCGAAATGCGATTCTACGTTGATTCTGAAAATTTCATGTAAAAATATTGAAACCCTATTGAGTTCTATTGTTTTGAGCGAAGTCAGTTTTGCAAATATCGCGAACTGAGATATGGGCGATTTTGTTCATTTTTTGCAACTATTTGAACACAGAATCCACAGTTAGGTAGATATTGAGCTGATAATCATAGAGAATCTGTAGTATAGGCTTATCTTCCATATAAAGTTGGTTTCATTCAAAAATATTGATATTTGACCAATTTATGGGCCAAAATCGATCAAATTTGGTGCGTATGCCCAAATATGGTCATATGGTTTTTGGCTCATAACTCAGTCATTTTTTGTCCAATCTTGATGAAAATTCATATACGAGTTCAGGGGACCACTAGCTACAAGTAGAGCACCTAAAATCTGGGTTTTGGGCATGTTCAGGGTATTTGGCTAAATTGGGCCTAATTTGGATCAAATATGGGCGTGGCTGCCCCGCAGGCACCGTTTGGCGGTTGGGGTCCGGGACCCCCTCAAAAGTTCGGTCACCGGTCCTAGTTTGTTGGTCAACTGCTATCTCGAAACTAAGTTTCACAAAAAAATCAGGGTGAACCCCCCCCTTAATAAAGATCATTAACTGCAGGGTAATCATACGATTTGTCTCACTGTATTTCTACAGTAGAACCTCTATATTTTATTATATACCATGCCTCTCTATAACAGGTACCTCGATATACCAGGCCTCTCCCTTTCTTAAAACTTTTATTCGATCTTTTAGGTCTTTGGCCGGTTTTTCGTATCCCCGAATGGCCCGTATATAGAGGTTCCACTGTACTACTAAGAAATGCATATTCTTAAGAGTTATAAGGAGGGTTGCCTAATTACAAAAATAACTCACTGTTTTACTGAATCCTTCCCGGCAAATAGTGTCACAATTCCAGGGTGCTAGCTGAAATAGTGGTGTTATGTATAATGTATATAGTGGAGTTATGTATAATGTATATAGTGGTGTTATGTAAATAGTGGTGTTATGTATAATGTATATAGTGGTGTTATGTATAATGTATATAGTGGTGTTATGTATAATGTATATAGTGGTGTTATGTATAATGTATATAGTGGTGTTATGTATAATGTATATAGTGGTGTTATGTATAATGTATATAGTGGTGTTATGTATAATGTATATAGTGGTGTTATGTATAATGTATATAGTGGTGTTATGTATAATGTATATAGTGGTGTTATGTATAATGTATATAGTGGTGTTATGTATAATGTATATAGTGGAGTTATGTATAATGTATATAGTGGTGTTATGTATAATGTATATAGTGGAGTTATGTATAATGTATATAGTGGAGTTATGTATAATGTATATAGTGGTGTTATGTATATAGTGGTGTTATGTATAATGTATATAGTGGTGTTATGTATAATGTATATAGTGGTGTTATGTATAATGTATATAGTGGTGTTATGTATATAGTGGAGTTATGTATAATGTATATAGTGGTGTTATGTATAATGTATATAGTGGTGTTATGTATAATGTATATAGTGGTGTTATGTATAATGTATATAGTGGTGTTATGTATAATGTATATAGCGGTGTTATGTATAATGTATATAGTGGTGTTATGTATAATGTATATAGTGGTGTTATGTATAATGTATATAGTGGTGTTATGTATAATGTATATAGTGGTGGTATGTATAATGTATATAGTGGTGTTATGTATAATGTATATAGTGGTGTTATGTATAATGTATATAGTGGTGTTATGTATAATGTATATAGTGGTGTTATGTATAATGTATAATGTATATAGTGGTGTTATGTATAATGTATATAGTGGTGGTATGTATAATGTATATAGTGGTGTTATGTATAATGTATAAAGTGGTTTTGTGTATAATGTATATAGTGGTGTTATGTATATAGTGGAGTTATGTATAATGTATATAGTGGTGTTATGTATAATGTATATAGTGGTGTTATGTATAATGTATATAGTGGTGTTATGTATAATGTATATAGTGGTGTTATGCATAATGTATATAGTGGTGTTATGTATAATGTATATAGTGGTGTTATGTATAATGTATATAGTGGTTTTGTGTATAATGTATATAGTGGTGTTATGTATATAGTGGTGTTATGTATAATGTATATAGTGGTGTTATGTATAATGTATATAGTGGTGTTATGTATAATGTATATAGTGGTGTTATGTATAATGTATATAGTGGAGTTATGTATAATGTATATAGTGGTGTTATGTATAATGTATATAGTGGTGTTATGTATAATGTATATAGTGGTGTTATGTATAATGTATATAGTGGTTTTGTGTATAATGTATATAGTGGTGTTATGTATATAGTGGAGTTATGTATAATGTATATAGTGGTGTTATGTATAATGTATATAGTGGTGTTATGTATAATGTATATAGTGGTTTTGTGTATAATGTATATAGTGGTGTTATGTATATAGTGGAGTTATGTATTATGTATATAGTGGTGTTATGTATAATGTATATAGTGGTGTTATGTATAATGTATATAGTGGTGTTATGTATAATGTATATAGTGGTGTTATGTATAATGTATATAGTGGTGTTATGTATAATGTATATAGTGGTGTTATGTATAATGTATATAGTGGTGTTATGTATAATGTATATAGTGGTGTTATGTATAATGTATATAGTGGTGTTATGTATAATGTATATAGTGGTGTTATGTATAATGTATATAGTGGTGTTATGTATAATGTATATAGTGGTGTTATGTATAATGTATATAGTGGTGTTATGTATAATGTATATAGTGGTGTTATGTATAATGTATATAGTGGTGTTATGTATAATGTATATAGTGGTGTTATGTATAATGTATATAGTGGTGTTATGTATAATGTATATAGTGGTGTTATGTATAATGTATATAGTGGTGTTATGTATAATGTATATAGTGGTGTTATGTATAATGTATATAGTGGTGTTATGTATATAGTGGTGTTATGTATATAGTGGTGTTATGTATAATGTATATAGTGGTGTTATGTATAATGTATATAGTGGAGTTATGCATATAGTGGTGTTATGTATATAGTGGTGTTATGTATATAGTGGTGTTATGTATGAATAGTGGTGTTATGTATAATGTATATAGTGGTGTTATGTATAATGTATATAGTGGTGTTATGTATAATGTATATAGTGGTGTTATGTATAATGTATATAGTGGTTTTGTGTATAATGTATATAGTGGTGTTATGTATATAGTGGAGTTATGTATAATGTATATAGTGGTGTTATGTATAATGTATATAGTGGTGTTATGTATAATGTATATAGTGGTGTTATGTATAATGTATATAGTGGTGTTATGTATAATGTATATAGTGGTTTTGTGTATAATGTATATAGTGGAGTTATGCATATAGTGGTGTTATGTATACAGTGGTGTTATGTATATAGTGGTGTTATGTATATAGTGGTGTTATGTATAATGTATATAGTGGTGTTATGTATAATGTATATAGTGGTGTTATGTATAATGTATATAGTGGTGTTATGTATAATGTATATAGTGGTGTTATGTTTAATGTATTTAGTGGTGTTATGTATAATGTATATAGTGGTGTTTATGTATAATGTATATAGTGGTGTTATGTATAATGTATATAGTGGTGTTATGTATAATGTATATAGTGGTGTTATGTATAATGTATATAGTGGTGTTATGTATAATGTATATAGTGGTGTTATGTATAATGTATATAGTGGTGTTATGTATAATGTATATAGTGGTGTTATGTATAATGTATATAGTGGTGTTATGTATAATGTATATAGTGGTGTTATGTATAATGTATATAGTGGTGTTATGTATAATGTATATAGTGGTGTTATGTATAATGTATATAGTGGTGTTATGTATAATGTATATAGTGGTGTTATGTATAATGTATATAGTGGTGTTATGTATAATGTATATAGTGGTGTTATGTATAATGTATATAGTGGTGTTATGTATAATGTATATAGTGGTGTTATGTATAATGTATATAGTGGTGTTATGTATAATGTATATAGTGGTGTTATGTATATAGTGGTGTTATGTATATAGTGGTGTTATGTATAATGTATATAGTGGTGTTATGTATAATGTATATAGTGGAGTTATGTATATAGTGGTGTTATGTATATAGTGGTGTTATGTATAATGTATATAGTGGTGTTATGTATGAATAGTGGTGTTATGTATAATGTATATAGTGGTGTTATGTATAATGTATATAGTGGTGTTATGTATATAGTGGTGTTATGTATATAGTGGTGTTATGTATAATGTATATAGTGGTGGTATGTATAATGTATATAGTGGAGTTATGTATATAGTGGTGTTATGTATATAGTGGTGTTATGTATATAGTGGAGTTATGTATAATGTATATAGTGGTGTTATGTATAATGTATATAGTGGTGTTATGTATAATGTATATAGTGGTTTTGTGTATAATGTATATAGTGGAGTTATGTATATAGTGGTGTTATGTATATAGTGGAGTTATGTATATAGTGGTGTTATGTATATAGTGGTGTTATGTATAATGTATATAGTGGTTTTGTGTATAATGTATATAGTGGTGTTATGTATATAGTGGAGTTATGTATAATGTATATAGTGGTGTTATGTATAGAGTGGAGTTATGTATAATGTATATAGTGATGTTATGTATAATGTATATAGTGGTGTTATGTATAATGTATATAGTGGTTTTGTGTATAATGTATATAGTGGTGTTATGTATATAGTGGAGTTATGTATAATGTATATAGTGGTGTTATGTATAATGTATATAGTGGAGTTATGTATAATGTATATAGTGGTGTTATGTATAATGTATATAGTGGTGTTATGTATAATGTATTAGTGGTGTTATGTATAATGTATATAGTGGTGTTATGTATAATGTATATAGTGGTGTTATGTATAATGTATATAGTGGTGTTATGTATAATGTATATAGTGGTGTTATGTATAATGTATATAGTGGTGTTATGTATAATGTATATAGTGGTGTTATGTATATAGTGGTGTTATGTATAATGTATATAGTGGTGTTATGTATAATGTATATAGTGGAGTTATGTATATAGTGGTGTTATGTATATAGTGGTGTTATGTATATAGTGGTGTTATGTATAATGTATATAGTGGTGTTATGTATGAATAGTGGTGTTATGTATAATGTATATAGTGGTGTTATGTATAATGTATATAGTGGTGTTATGTATATTGTATATATGGGTGTTATGTATAATGTATATAGTGGTGTTATGTATAATGTATATAGTGGTGTTATGTATAATGTTATATAGTGGTGTTATGTATAATGTCTATAGTGGTGTTATATAAATGATTATAGTGGTGTTATGTATAATGTATATAGTGTGTTATGTATAATGTATATAGTGGTGTTATGTATAATGTATATAGTGGTGTTATGTATAATGTATTATAGTGGTGTTATGTATATAGTGGTGTTATGTATATAGTGGTGTTATGTATAATGTATATAGTGGTGTTATGTATAATGTATATAGTGGAGTATGCATATAGTGGTGTTATGTATATAGTGGTGTTATGTATATAGTGGTGTTATGTATGAATAGTGGTGTTATGTATAATGTATATAGTGGTGTTATGTATAATGTATATAGTGGTGTTATGTATAATGTATATAGTGGTGTTATGTATAATGTATATAGTGTTTTGTGTATAATGTAATATAGTGGTGTTATGTATATAGTGGAGTTATGTATAATGTATATAGTGGTGTTATGTATAATGTATATAGTGGTGTTATGTATAATGTATATAGTGGTGTTATGTATAATGTATATAGTGGTGTTATGTATAATGTATATAGTG